CAAGAACACGGTCGAGGGGCCAGGTGAACCCTCACGGGTCTGGTGCTAGCCCCCATCTCACATCCCATCAAGCCGGCAGGGCCAGCTGGCTCCACCTTTAGTCCCTGCCGTCATTCTTGTTTCTCCCCCAGGGCCCAGGGAGCCACATTCTGCTTTCTGTAACATCAAAACTCCACCTCGTCCCTTCAAATCCTTTTCCCGGTGTATTCTGGGAGATCTGACTGGCCCTGTTCCCCCCCTTGCCGGTCCTTCACTTGGTCTAACCATCAGAGAAGCCGACTGGCCGCAGCTTCTCTGCAGTCCGTGAAGCATTTTGTGCCTGGAGATCACTGCAATTTAGATTCTAGGATGGGCCTTGTTTTATTTATCTGGCAGTCCTGGGACTTGAACTCAGGGCCTGGGCGCTGTCCCTGAGCTCTTTCACTCCAGGCTGGCGCTCTACCACCTGAGCCACAGCGCCACTTCTGGTTTTCCGGTGGTTCATGGGAGATCAGAGTCTCACGGACTTTCCTGTCCTGGGCCAGGCCTCGAACCGTGATCCTCTAGATCTCAGCCTCCCGAGGAGCTGGGATGGACAGGCGGGAGCCACTGAGCCAGTGCCCCGCATGGATTACTTCCGTTCCTTTGTTGGTGTCGATGCTGGGCATGTCTGCCTTGTTGGTGACTTCTGTCTGACGGGCACCGCTCTTGTTGGTTGCAGGCACGAGGCGAGGTTTAAGAGCGGATGTTGGAGCTGACGGACACCAACAACATCGCCTACTTGTTCCTCTCGGCCGCCAACAGATGGCTGGAGGTCAGGACGGTGAGTTTCTGGCAGGGATGCAGCGTGAAAGCCAAACGGGAGCGGAGGTCAGGGGGCCGGGCAGGTGGCTCAGGGGCAGAGTGCTCGCCTCGCATGTGTGAGGCCCCGGGTTCCAGTCCTCATCCCCACAGACACAGAAAAAGCCAGAGGTGGCGGCGTGGCTCACGCAGTAGAGCGCCAGCCTTGAGCTGAAGAGCCAAATGGGATCACGAGGCCCTGATCTGGAGCCCTGGAAGACGGTCAAGTCCTGGAACAGAAGAACAACTTATATAAGGACTGAGAGAGGCATTTGAACATGTCTTTGAAATGGGCAGACGAATGGGTATCTGAGGAGAAACAGCAGTACAAATGGTTCCTACGTCTCACCTGGCCGGCTTCTTTCGCTCCAGGCTGGAGCTTTACCCCTTGAGCCACGTCCTTACTTCTGGCTTTTGTGTTTTGGCTGGTCACTTGGAGAAAAGAGGCTGTCCCTATTTGTCTGGCCTCAGATCGCAATCCTCAGCCCTCAGCCTCCTGAGTGGCTCGGGTTAGAGTCCTGAGCCACCGGTGTCCCGCTGTGTTCGACAGAACGCTAAGAGGAGGTTGCTGGTTGCTTTTTAACCAAAAAAGAAATCCCTCCCTGCTAGATATTTGCCAGAAGGTGCAGGACAGGTTTCCCAGCATTGCAGGTTACGGAGAGATAAGCCACGCATTGCTGCGTATTTATAACCAAACCCAAACGCGATTCCTCGCCCAATCCAGCGCGAGCATCTGCTTCCTGTGCATCTGTGCGCTTAGAAGTTGTGTTTTGGATTTGCAGCTGTGGCTCAAGTGGTAGAGTGCCAGCCTCGAGCAGAACAAATCTTAAGGCCCTGAGTTCGAGTCCCAGGACTGACACTCACACAAATAATAATATTAAAATTGGCCTAATTTGTCCTAAGGAGAAACATCTTATCACGGTTCATGAGAACATTCCAACCAGCTCCATTCCAGAACATTCCAGCTCCGCAGGAGGCTGAGGTCTGAGGATCATGGTTTGAGGCCAGCCCGGGCAGGAAAGTCCATGAAACTCTGATCTCCCATGAACCACCAGAAAACCGGACGTGGCGCCGTGGTTCAGGTGGTAGAGCACCAGCCTTGAGTATAAAGAGCTCAGAGACCACGCCCAGGGCCTGAGTTCAAGTCCCAGGATGGACCAACTAAGAGAACATTCTAGAAGTGTCATGGGGAGGTGGTGGGGGGTGGGCCTGTGTGCATGGGTGCCGCGTGCGCCCCGGGTCACCGCGTTCCCCGCCGGCCTCCAGTTGCGTCTGTGAAGAGATCAGGGAGGCGAGGCTGCTGCGCAGGCCGGGCTGGCCTTGAACTCGCGGCCCTCCTGCGCTCCGCAGCCCGTGCTGCGGCCCAGCCCCAACCCTCCCGCTGCCTTCCACGCAGACAGCGGCCCTGCGGCTGGAAACCCTCCTCACAGACAGACAGACAGACAGACAGAGAAGAAAAGGGGAGGAGAGGGGAGGGGAGGGGAGGGGAGGGGAGGGGAGGGGAGGGCAGGAGAGGGGAGGGAGAGTCTGAGGAGAGGGGGAGGGACAGATCAGATTCTACGCAGGAAAAAGCCAGTCTGGGCGAGAATCTTCCATGACTGGGTTGCACGTTCTTCTGCGGGCGGAAGGTGAAAGTTCAGGGTCCTTTGTGTGTGATTAGCGCCGTCGGCAGTGCCTGACTACCACCGTGTTTTTGTGAACACACACTCACACACACACACACACACACTCACACACACACACACACCTCGTCCTGTGGACAAACCCGTAAGATCCATGCGGTTCAGAAATGACTTTATGTGGTTGGTGGTGGTCCTGGGACTTGAACTCAGGGCCTGGGCGCTGTCCCTGAGCTCTTCAGCTCAAGGCGGGCGCTCTACCACTTGAGCCACAGCGCCACTTCTGGCTTTTTTCTGTGATTTATTGGAGATCAGAGTCTCACAGACTTTCCTGCCTGGGCTGGCTTTGAACTGCGATCCTCAGATCTCAGCCTCTTGAGCAGCCGGGATTACAGGCGTGAGCCACCAGTGCCTGGCTCTCCTATCTATGTTGAACAAGGGGAAACAGTCTCATAAGACATCAGAAAACACAAAGAAGAATCTAGAAGAATGTTTTCAAATGTTCTGGCTGCTATCAAAGTCCGTTTGCCAGGGCCTCCCAGCTTTTCCTGGCACTGGGGGACCCCTCTCTCCTGTGGGGTTCGAGCTGTGGTTTTTGTGCAACGTGTCCCCCGTGGCCCGAGTTCGCAAGGCTGTCCAGCGCGGGGTGCTTGGTTTCCCTCTTTCTCCTCTTTATCTCTGCACGACGCAATTCCACGCTCTTGGCCTGGGAGCCTGCGGGTTCACAGAAGCTGTGTCATTCCATCCAAGGCTGTCTGTCTGTCCCAGGCCTTTGTCCTGCTGCGTGGGGAAAGAGGAAACACACACCGAGAGGCCAAAAGCAAAAAAGGGAAAACGATCCCTTTTCAAAAGACACGTTAACAAGCGAAGCCGGCGTGCGTGCACGTTGGAGCGGAAGCAGCCTTCAGGCCGAGCAGGCTCAGGAATCCATCCGGGGAACTGACCGGGGTCCCCCAGGCTCACGCTAGACCCTCTTACAGCTTTGGGGTGCTCTGTAGCGCTCTGGTGTCTGATGGCAATGGAGAGGCAGAGGTGTTAGGATTTTTTCCAGTCCCTGTCACAGGGATGATTGCAGCTGTCCCTGGAAGAGAGGGGAATGTTCTAGAAACCTGACAGATGGCTCCCTGGAAACCAAAGTCTTCTCTTGTGTAGAGGAGCACGCTTCGTCTAAAATGAATACAAGTTGGGCTGGGCAGGTGGCTCAGTGGTAGAGCGCTCGCCTAGCATGCATGAGGCCCTGGGTTCGAATCCTCAGCGCCACAGACACAGAAAGAGCTGGAAGTGGCGCTGTGGCTCAAGTGATAGAGCGCTCATCTTGAGCAAAAAGAAGCTCAGGGACAGCGCCCAGGCCCTGAGTTCAAGCCCCAGGACCGGCAAAACAACAACAACAATAATAATAAAGGTTAGGCACACTGCTGGTGGCTCCTGCCTGTTACCCCAGCTACTGAGGAGGCTGAGATCTGAGGATTGCGGTTCAAGGCCAGCCTGGGAAGGAAAGTCCATGACATTCTTGTCCCCCATGAACCACCAGAAAACTGGAAGTGGCGCTGTGGCTCAAGTGGTAGAGCACCAGCCTTGAGCTGAAGAGCTGAGGGACAGTGCCCAGGCCCTGAGTTCAAGCCTCAGGACTGGCATCTATCTATCTGTCTGTCTGTCTGTCTGTCTGTCTATCTATCTATCTATTTATCTATCTGGAAGGGAGTATGTACTGCTCTATAGGATTTATTGCTTCAAGATATTAGTGCAATCATTTTTCTTTTTTTAATTCCATGTAGTGATTCTGTGAATCAACATGGAGTTATAGCTTAGTGCTTGTTTTGATCTTTGATGTTTATGATAAACGTGTGTGTGTGTGTGTGAGTGTGTGTGTCCTGGGTCTTGAACTCAGGGCCTGGGCGCTGTCCCTGAGCTCTTTCACTCAAGGCTGGCGCTCTACCCCTTGAACCACAGCGCCACTTCCAGTTTTCTGGTGGTTCATGGGAGATCAGAGTCTCCTGAACTTTCCTGCCCAGGCTGGCCTCAAACCACGATCCTCAGACCTCAGCCTGCTGCGTGGCTGGGCTGACAGGCGGGAACCACCGGTGCCTGGCTACACATGGACATGTTTTGAAACGTCACATCCTGGCTGACTCGGCCATGGCCGCCTAACCCCTGGCAAATTATTTAATGCCCCTGAACCCCGGATTGTCTGGTGCGGGGTGAGAGCAGGCCTGGGGGGGGTCACAGAAGCCGTGTGAGGCAAGTCTGAGGACAGCAGCGTCCACCCCGACCCCCGACCCCTCGTGTCGGGGGCCCCTCCCCTGGCAGCTCGCGGGGGTCGAGGAACTGGGGGGCCGCCTCCCACTCCCCGCGCTGCCCCTCTTGCAGGATTACCTGGGTGCCTGCATCGTGCTCACGGCCTCCCTGGCCTCCATCAGCCGGCCCTTCAACTCCGGCCTCGTGGGCCTGGGGCTCCTCTATGCCCTCACGGTAGGTGATCTGGAACCTTCTGAACCTTCTGGCTCTTTCCCTCCATCCACCCCGACTCACAGACGCTGGGGAAGACAGGCGGGATGCGGGGCGGACGAGGCCGGCCGCCATCGCTGATGTGGGCCCCAAGGTCCCGTTTTGGGACCCCCGCAGACTCGTGGCTGACACGACCAGCCCAGGGTAGAGAGACTCCGACGTTCACGCACGCCCCTCCCCCGGCCAGGGGGCTGTCACACGCAGCTGGGGGCGTGCAAGCGTGAAGCGGCGTGAGCAGTGTGTGCACATGGCCGCCGAGTCCTGGGGGGGGCCTTCTCACCTCCACCGCCCCGCAGCTCTCATGGAGTGCACCCCAACATGGAGCCCCATCCGAGCATGCCCAGTGATCCTGCGAACAGCAGACTCCCAGGGCTAGAGAGAGCGGGAGGGATGGACAGATAGATGGATGGATAGACAGACAGATAGATATAGATAGCTGGACAAGTGGATGGATGGATGGATAGACAGACCGACAGACAGATACAGATAAGTGGACAAGTAGATAGATGGATGGATGGATAGACAGACAGACAGATAGATAGGTGGACAAGTGGATGGATGGATGGATGGATAGATAAATGGCTGGATATATGGGGAGGCAGATACATTAGATAAAGAGAGAGAAAGAGATAGATAATAGATGGCTAGATAGATGGACAGATGGATAGGTGAATGATAGATAGAAAGAGATGATAGGTAGATAGATGGATAGATGGATAGATAGATAAATGGATGGATGGATGGATGGATGGATGGAGAAAGAGACAGATAATATGATAGGATATAGACAGATGATAGACTGATAGATAATACATTGGTAATGTATAGATGGATACGTGCTAAGTAAGTAGGTGGATGTATAGCTAGAAGACAGGTTGATAGATAATGCGTAGATGGATGATGGATAGATGGGTGATACATAAGGGATGAATAGGTAGACAATGGAGGGATAGATGGATGGTAAATGAACTCAGGACGGATGATAGATAGATAATGGGTGCATAGATGACAGATAAAATAGATGATCGATGAGACATAGAAGATGGATGATAGATGTAGATAAGCTAGATGATGGATACACAGAAGATAGATGGTAGATTGATGGTAGATACATATAGGTGACAGACAGACAGACAGATAGATAGATAGATGGATGGATGGATAGATAGATAGATAGATAGATAGATAGATAGATAGATAGATAGATAGATGGATGGATGGATGGATGGATGGATGGATAGATAGATAGATAGATAGATAGATAGATAGATAGATAGATAGATAGATAGATAGATAGATAGATAGATGGATAGATAGATGGATAGATAGATAGATAGATGGATAGATAGATAGATGGATAGATAGATAGATGGATAGATAGATAGATGGATAGATAGATAGATAGATGGATAGATAGATAGATGGATAGACATCAGATGATAAATCAGTAATAGATTGGTAGATAACGGGTGGATGGATGGATGGTGGACAGACTCATGACAAATAGGCGTTAGACAGACAACAGACGTAAATAAGATGGACAGCCGACACATAGAAGCCAGACGATGGATGGATGGTAGACCCCTGGACATGGCAGACATGACAGGCGGATGGCGGATGGATGGATGATAGATCGCATAGGTCTTCCATCAGTCCACCTAGCTGGGCCGAGTGGCTTTCCCTGTGGGCCACGCTCATGGTTTTCTCCCCCCTCCTCTCTCCTCCCCCCTCCCGGCCCAGATCACCAATTACCTGAACTGGGTGGTGAGGAACTTGGCCGACCTGGAGGTGCAGATGGGCGCCGTGAAGAAAGTGAACAGCTTCCTGTCCATGGAGTCAGAGAACTACGAAGGCACCATGGGTACTGTGCCCTCTCTGTCTGTCTGTCTGTCTGTCTCTGTCTCTGTCTCTGTGTTAGACAGCATCCTCAATCTACATAGCCCGGGACATCTTCACACTGAGAGCCTCTTCCTTCAAGTGCCGGGACTACAGGTGTGCGGCACAACCCTTGGCTCCCTTATCTTGGTTGTTGTTTTCTTTAAGTAGTTGTCCAGAGGAGCTGCCAATGAACCAGGCAGTTGAGGAATAAGGTGCCTTTTGATCCGTGTCCCCCCCCTTCCACCCCCCTCCCCACCCCACCTTGCTTTTCCTAATTTTCAACATATGTATTGAATGTATCTGCTTCCACATTTAACCGAGAAGTGCATCTTGATCCCTGTCAACCCTTCAACATCTTTTTTTGGGGTTGGTCATGGGACTTGAACTCAGGGCCCAGGTGCTGTCCCTGAGCTCTTTCACTCAAGGCTGGCGCTCTACCGCTTGAGCCACAGCTCCACTTCTGGTTTTCTGGTGGTTCACTGGAGATCAGAGTCTCACAGACTTTCCTGCCCTGGCTGGCTCTGAACAAAAACATTTCAAATTCTTACTTGAGATGCGATTACTTTGAATGTGAATTAAAATGTCAAAAGAAACAGAGGCTCCTCTGGCAGAAAGCTTGATTCATGGTTGGGGGATATTAAGTCATTGCTGAAGATACATATTGAAAAGTATGTGCTTCTGTCTGTCTGTCTGTCTATCTATCTACCTATTATCTATCTATCATTTTTCTGACTGTGTCTATCTATCTATTCACCTATTATCTATCTATCTATTTCATCTCCCTATCACATAGCTGTCTGTCATCCATCCATCTATCCACCCATCATTTCAATCTATCTATCTGTTGATCTCTCTCTCTGTGTTTCTGTCTATCTTTATGTCTATCTATCATCTGTCTGTCTGTCTGTCTCTCTCTCTCTATCTACCCACCCACCTCTGATCACCGACTTCCTCTGTTTCCCCTTCTAGATCCTTCGCAGGTGCCGGAGCACTGGCCACAGGAAGGGGAGATCAAGATTCACGACCTGTGCGTCCGCTATGAGAATAATCTCAAGCCCGTTCTGAAACACGTCCAGGCTTACATCAAGCCCGGGCAGAAGGTACCGGACTTGCCGCCTCTTCGTGTCTTTTCTAAACTTCAGGGCTCTGGTGAAGCGTCTGTCACCGCTCAGTTTCTCTGTGCGTCCAAACCCTCGGTATATGTTCACGAGGGCTCACGTGCGTTGCCCTGCGTGGCAGATAAAATGATCTGAACAGAAGATAAAAGAAAGGCCGGTGCCAGTGCTGACACCTGTCGTCCCAGCTACTCAGGAGGCTGAGATCTGAGGATCGTGGTTCAAGGCCAGCCTGGGCAGGAAAGTCCGTGAGACTCTGATCTCCCATGAACCACCAGAAAAACCAGAAGTGGCGCTGTGGCTCAAGTGGTAGAGCACCAGCCTTGAGTGAAAGAGCTCAGGGACGGCGCCCAGGCCCAGAGTTCAAACCCCAGGACTGACACCAAAAAAAAAAGAAGGAAAAAAGTGGACTTTTTCTCTCTTATAAACCAATCATTTCTAAGAAAAAAAAATTGAGCGCTTGTTCTTTGGTCTAACTGTATACTGAGCCAAAAATAAGCCCAGAAGACAAACAGACAGAATAGATCGTGAAAATGAAGATTCGGGATTTAGTCCTTGAGCATCTGCTGAGGATTTCATGATTTTTCGTTTCATAATGATAATATTTTCATTGTGGTTGGGGGGCTTGAACTCAGGGCTTGGGCGCTGTCCGTGAGCTCTTTTACTCAAGGCTGGCGCTCTACCACTTGAACCACAGCACCAAGTCTCGTTTTCTGGTGGTTCATGGGGGATCAGAGTCTCACGGGCTTTCCTGCCCAGGCTGGCTTTGAACCACGATCCTCAGATCTCAGCCTCCTGAGTCGCTGGGATGACAGGCGGGAGCCACCGGCGCCTGGCTTCAAAATGATAAAGCACCAGAGCTCCTCACAGCCAGAATTGTGCCTACTTCCCACTGTCTTATCTAACGCTTGGCGGTCTCTTCTGTCTTTTGTTCCTGGCTTCCTCTCTCTGAGTGCTGGTTGCTTGGTTTCAGGTGGGCATCTGCGGCCGCACGGGCAGCGGGAAATCGTCTTTATCCCTGGCCTTCTTCAGAATGGTTGATATATTTGACGGTGAGCGGCAAACTCCATCTTCCCCCCACAGCCTCCATCAGCGCTGTATTACTCTCATGTGTATTTTATTTTTTGTGGTGGTCCTGGGGCTTGAACTCGGGGCCTGGGCACCATCCCTGAGCTTCTTTTACTCAAAGCTGGTGCTCTACCCCTTGAGCCACAGCGCCACTTCTGGTTTTCTGGTGGTTCATGGGAGATCAGAGTCTCATGGACTTTCCTGCCTGGCCTGGCCTCGAACCACGATCCTCAGATCTCAGCCTCCCGAGTAGCTGGGATGACAGGTGGGAGCCTCGGGCATCTCAAGGTGAATGAGCCTGGTGTTGGTGGCTCCTGCCTGTCATCCCAGTTACTCAGAAGGCTGAGATCTGAGGTGCAGAGTTCAAAGCCATCCCAGGCAGGAAAAAAAAATCCTTGAAAATCTCTTCTTCAATGAACCACCAAAAAGCGGGATGTGGAGCTTATGGCTAGCCACAAATTATATAGATTAAAAAAGCTCAGGAACAGTGCCCAGGCCCTGAGTTCAAACCCCAGGACCAGGACAAAACAACTCATTCACACTAAAGTGTAAATGACTTAAACGTGGCTAACTGGGCCCATCGTTCTTGAATCTTCTCAAGAATCTCCTCCCTGGAGAGCCGCAGGGAGTTATTCAGGGAGAAGAGGAGCTTCCTGCTTCCCCTGCGTGAGGGAGAGGCGGCCAGGGGCCTGTTTTCCCTTGTGAACCCCAAAGCTGCACAGGGAGGCGTGGCTCAGGCAGTCGAGCGCCAGCCTTGAAGACGAAAAATTGAAAGAATAAAAAACAACCACAAGCTTCAGGGACCACACCAGGCCCTGGGTTCAGGCCCCAGGATCGGCACGTGCACACACACACACACACACACACACACACACACACACACACACACACACACACGCCGTGGCAGGCCTGCGACTCCTCTCTCCCCCCAGGGAAGATCGTGATCGACGGCATCGACATCTCCAGGCTGCCGCTGCACACGCTGCGCTCGCGCCTCTCCATCATCCTCCAGGACCCCATTCTGTTCAGCGGCTCCATCCGGTACGTGAACCTCCGGATCGCCCGTGGCTCAGCGAACGTTGGGCTGCCTGGGATGTGAGCAAGGTGCATGTGTGTGTGTGTGTGCGTGCGTGTGTGTGCGTGTGTGCATGTGTGTGCGTGTGTGCACATGTGTGTGCGTGTGTGTGTGCGTGTGTGTGCGTGTATAAGTGCGTGTGTGCGCGCGTGCATGTGTGTGTGTGCGTGTGTGTGTGCATGTATAAGTGCGTGTGTGTGCGCGTGCATGTGTGTGTAAGTGCGTGTGTGTGCGTGTGCGCGCGCGTGTGTCCCAGGAAAAGGGGCCCAGCGTGATCCTCTCACTCACCCTCATTTCCCTCCCACCTGGGGCAGAGATTTGTAGCCAGCTGGTTCTGGAATGTTCCACCCCAGCGGACATCCTGTCTAAGCCTGGGGGGGCAGCCTCAGCGGGGACTTGCAGTTCAGTTGCTCTCCTACCCCAGCAACCTGCACCCCAACACCCGCCACAGCCCAACCCCCTTCCCGCGGGTTCACAGCTGCCCCCCCAAAATAAATGGAAGGAGGGAGGGAGGGAGAGGTGGGGGGAGGGAGGAAGAAAGGAAGGAGGGAAGGAAGGAGGGAAAAGGAGAGAGAGATGGAAAGAGAGGGAAAGAGAAAGGCAGGAAGAAAGGAAAGGAAGAGGGAAGGAGGGAAGGAAGAAAAAGGAAGGAGGGAAGGAGAGAGGGAAGGAAGAAAGAAAGGAAAGTAGGAAGCAAAGAAGGAAGGAGGGAAGGAAGGAAGAAATGAAGGAAAGTAGGAAGAAGGGAGGGAAGGAGAGAGGGATGGAAAGAGAGAAAGGCAGAAAGGAAGCAAAGGAAGAAGGAAGGAAAGAAGAAAGGAAGGAGGAAGGAAGGAAGGAAGGAAACAAGGAAGGAAGGAAGGAAGGAAGGAAAAGAAGGGAAGGAAGGAAGTTTATTGGATAAAGAAGTACTGGCAGAAGGAAGGAAGGGAGGGAGGGAGGAAGGAAGGAAGGAAGGAAGGAAGGAAGGAAGGAAGGAAGGAAGGAAGGAAGGAAGGAAGGAAGGAAGGAAGGAAGGAAACAAGGAAGGAAGGAAGGAAGGAAGGAGGAAGGAGGGGAGGGTAAGTTATCTTTTCTCTGTCAGGTTAGTTAAATGTATTTTCCGAGTATTAAATGTCGTGGGCATTGTCCTGGGTGCAGGCGAGCTTTCTTCCGCAGGTGAGTATTTTAAAACTCAAAGCAAGCCCGACACGGTGGCTCCCGCCTGTCATCCCGGCTACTCAGGAGGCTGAGATCTGAGAACTGAGGTTCGAAGCCAGCCCAGGCAGGAAAGTCCGTGAGACTCTGATCTCCAAGGAACCACCAGAAAACCAGAAGTGGCGCTGTGGCTCAAGTGGTAGAGCACCAGCCTTGAGCTGAAGAGCTGAGGGACGGCGCCCAGGCCCTGAGTTCAAGGCCCAGGATCAGAACACAAAACCAGACAACCCCAACTTCAAAGGAACGAGAAGTTGCCCATTTCCCACACCTAATGAGTTTCCGAAACATCCTTCCAAATGAACACTGTGTCATTTCCTATACCACTCTGCTGGAAACCACCGGATCCTGTCTTCCGTTACCCCCTCCCCTCCCTTCCCCCCTCCTCCTCCTTCCTCCCTCTCTCCCCGCTTAATTATGAGGACAGGTGTTTGTCCTCTCCATTTAATGATGGCTCCAGCTCATTTTGTTTTTGTCAGTCCTGGGTCTTGAACTCAGGGCCTGGGTGCCGTCCCTCAGCTCTTCAGCTCAAGGCTGGTGCTCTACCACTTGAGCCACAGCGCCACTTCTGGTTTCCTGGTGGTTCCTTGGAGATCAGAGTCTCACGGACTTTCCTGGGCCTCAAACCGCGATCCTCTAGATCTCAGCCTCCTGTAGCCGCTGGGAGGCCAGGCTGGAGCCGCTGGGGTGTAGCTCAGTGCTTTGTAAAACTGTGTGCTGAGTACTCTTCTGGAGACTGAGTTGTCAGCACCCACTCAGGTGGGCCCGTGATCGCACGCGCACGCAGCCGCCACGTGCCAGCACTTTATTATTCCTCATGGACAACTACACGGGGTTTTTAACCTCTTCCCTCCCCCCCCCCCCGACAGGTTTAACCTAGACCCCGAGTGCAAATGTACGGATGACAGGCTGTGGGAGGCGCTGGAGATCGCGCAGCTCAAGAACATGGTCAAGTCTCTGCCGGGGGGCCTAGGTAAACCTTCCAGAAAAGAGCTGTGCGTGGCATGGCAGCTAACGCAACCCGAGAGCGCAACTGCGTCTTAGGCTAAAAAAAAAGATCACAGCCTCCTAGCAATAGCCCGCTGGTGTGCTCAACACAATCCCACCGCAGGGCCTTAGGGTATTTCTATTTACTTATTTGTGCCAGTCCTGGGACTTGAACTCAGGGCCTGGGCGCTGTCCCTGAGCTCTTCAGCTCAAGGCTGGTGCTCTACCACTTGAGCCACAGCGCCACTTCTGGTTTTCTGGTGGTTCATGGGCGATCAGAGTCTCTCAGGCTTTCCTGCCCCAGCTGGCCTTGAACCGCGATCCTCAGATCTCAGCCTCCTGAGTCGCTGGGATGACAGGCGGGAGCCACCAGCGCCCGGCTCCTTAGATGGGGGGGTGGGGGATGGGGGGTGCCCTCCCTCTCTTCCTGCGTCTCAGCGTTGAGGCTGAGATTCACAAGGAGGAGGGGAGGAAGCTCCAGCTCAGCAGAAGATGCCGCCCATGACACCTTCATGAGATCCCCCTCCTCCCCCTCCTCCTCCCCCTCCCCCTCCTCCCCCTCCTCCTCCTCTTCCTCCTCCTCGTCCCCCTCCCCCTCCTTCTCCCCCTCCTCCTCCCCCTCCCCCTCCTCCCCCTCCTCCCCCTCCCCCTCCCCCTCCTCCCCCTCCCCCTCCCCCTCCTCCCTCTCCTCCTCCTCCTCCTCCCAGTGCCAGTCCTAGAGCTTGAGCTGAGGCTGGGCGCTGTCCTTTCGAGTTTTGCTGTTTGCATCTCTCACTTGCGGCCGGCGCTCTACCACTCTGAGCCGCAGCTCCGCTCCTGCCTTTCCTTTTTGGTGACTCATTGGACACAAGCCTCTCACAGGCCTGTGTGCTGCGAGCCTCGATCCTCCTCTCTCGGCCTCCTGAGGAGCTGGGATTGCAGGCGAGCGCCACCGGGGCCGGCTGGTGACCCTTCCGTCTCTTCTTCCTGCCAGACGCCACGGTCACGGAGGGTGGGGAGAACTTCAGCGTGGGGCAGCGGCAGCTGTTCTGCCTGGCCAGGGCCTTCGTCAGGAAGAGCAGCATCCTCATCATGGACGAAGCCACCGCCTCCATCGACATGGCCACGGTGAGCCCGCGCTGGCCCGGGAGAGGACACTCCTCCATCGCAGCCCACCTGTGTCCCTGAACACTGAGCCACAAGCCGGGCCCCGCGGCTCCCGCCTGCCATCCCAGCTACTCAGGAGGCTGAGATCTGAGGATCGCGGTTCAAGGCCAGCCCGGGGGCAGGAAAGCCTAGGACACCCTGATCTCCCAGGATCAGCCCAAAAAAAAAGCTGGAGGGGGGGCTGTGGTTCAAGTGGTAGAGCGCCAGCCTGCTGCGCAGAAGCTCAGCGACAGCGCTCGGGCCCTGAGTTCAAGACCCACGACTGACCAACACACACACACACACACACACACACACCAGAGAAGGGAAAAGGAAAGAAGAGGCAAAGGAGTGTCAGGAGCACTTACCATCTGTTTCTTTTCCTTTGCTTCGCCAGGAAAATATTCTTCAGAAAGTGGTGATGACGGCTTTCTCGGATCGCACGGTCGTGACGATTGCGGTGCGTATCCAGACAGGGCCATGCATTTCTCTGGAAATTTCCTTTTCTTTGGACCTGCGGTTCTCTGAGCTTTGAGTCTGCGCAGTTAAAAATATACTGGTGGTGCGTGAGGCCTTTCTTTGTTAATGTTTCTGTCCCTGTGCAAAAGAAAAAAGAAAGGAAAGCAGAAATGACAAGTCAATTCTGAAAGCATTACTCTCTCCTCAACTCTGCACCCCACTACCTCCGACTGACAAGAGCAACCCATCCCGAGTCTCAGGACCCCCACGAGCCAGCAGCGAATTCGCTACACGAATGACCTTTCCCAGCGTCTGATGGTCTGATGAGGAATTTCAGAGAACAAATTCCTAATTTTTCCGGAGCCTTCTGCTAGTATTCACCCTTGTGTGATAATCGGGATGTTTTTCATTCACTTAGCTGTTTTTCTTTAAATAAAACTACAAGCTGGGTACTGGAGTTCTTGCCTAGCTACTCGTGAGGATCTGGGTTTGAATCCAGCCTGACCAGAAAAGGCTGTGAGACCCTCACCTCCAGTGAACCAGCAAAATGCCAGAAGTGAAGGTGTATGGTTCAAGTGGTAGAGCACCAGCCTTGACCTCAAAATCCAGGCAAGAGTGTGAGCTCCTGAGTTCAAGCCCCAACCTGGCACAATAGGTAGATAGATAGATGGATGGATGGATGGATGGATGGATGGATGGATGGATGGATGGATGATACAGCTGGATAGATGAATAAGATGGATGGATGGAGATAAACAAGTAGATAAATAGATGAATGGATGAATATGAAAAATGGGTGTATGGATGATATAGAGAAATAGATAAGATAGATGAATGGATGGACGGATGGATGGATGATAAATGGATGGATGGATGACATAGCTAGATGGATAAGATGGGTAGATGGATGTAGATCGTAGATGGATGGATGGAGGGATAAATAGATGAGCAGATAGATGATAAATGGATGGATGACATAGATGGATGTATAGATGAATATAGATGATAGGTAGATATAAAGATGAACAGATGATGGATAGAGATGGTAGATAGATAGATTAGATAGATAGATAGATAGATAGATAGATAGATAGATGATAGATAGATATAGATAGACACAGACAGATAGATAGATAGATGGATAGATAGATAGATAGATAGATGATAGATAGATATAGACAGACACAGACAGACAGATAGATAGATGGATAGATAGATGGATAGATAGATAAATAGATGGATAGATAGATAGATAGACAGACAGACAGACAGATAGATAGATAGATCATCTCTTATATAAGGGAAAGTAATTTCTCTGTCTCAGGTTGTACCAACCAAATAGAAAAGTTACTTGAGGCCTGGTGAGTTAATATTGTCTCTGACTTTCGACAGAACACGGTTTTCTTTGCTGCTGTTCAGATGTGGAACTCCCCATTTCCGATGTAGACTTTTATGGCTGCACAGATCCCGTTCTTAACCTGCTCCCTCGGTCCTGTCTTCCTCCTGCTGACCCTCCTCTCTTCTCTGCGTTTCTGGTTTTGTCTTTTTCCTTCTCTCTCCAGCATCGAGTCTCTTCTATTGTGGACATGGGCCTGGTGTTAGTCTTTTCCCAGGGTATTTTAGTGGAGTGCGATTCGGGTCCCAATCTGCTCACCCATAAGAACGGACTCTTTTCCACTTTGGTGATGACCAACAAATAGACTGGCATGATCTACTTTGCCGAGTACCCCTCTTTTCTGGTAGTTATCTGGAGGGGGGAGGGGGGAGAGGACTCAGTCTGCCATTCTAGAGGGGGCTGGGAGCGGGGAAGTAACCGGGTTGAAGCTGGGAGGTCTCTAGTCAGCTCAGCCAACTATTCTTGCACATAGCATTTCTTGCCATTCAATACGAAATTTGCTTGTAAATATATGCAGATCACATGTAAATATATGCAAATGCATGCAAATGTATGCACACATGGTTGTGTTCATACATCCTGGGGACCCGATTTATCTCCACCCCCAGGACTCATTTCCCAGTCCCTTAAGGGTGTGTTACAGGCAGCCTGATTGGCCAGGCTGCAGTGATTCAGGGCTATTAATCCCAGCTACTCAGGAGGCTGAGATCTGAGGATCATGGTTCAAAGCCAGCCAGGGCAAGAAAAGTCCATGAGACTCTTATCTCCAATAAACCACCAAAAAGCCAGAAGTGGAGCTGTGGTTCAAGTGGTAGAGCACTAGCCTTGAGTGAAAGAGCTCAGGAACAGCACCCAGGCCCTGAGTTCATGCCCCAGGCCAGCACACATACACACACACACACACACACACACACACACACACACACACACACACACACTACAGCCCTGATACAGTTCCAGCATACTGTGGGTATTTAAAAATATGTAAATGAGTGGTCCATTCAAATAAGAGAAAGAAGGAGACTTTGTTTCCTGCATTTTCTAGCAGGCCAATGTGAATAAATGCCCGCCAAATGCTTGGCAGCATTTACACATTCCACGGTTCTTGGTTTTTATTGTGCAATGTGTAATATATATAAAATATATAATGTAATATATAATTATACTTAATAATTGTATATATTATATACTCTATAACATTATAATATAGAATATGTTATATAATTATATTTATAATATAATATACATAATATATACTATAATATAATGTAAACATAATATATAACATAAAATGTAATATAATTATATATTATATTTATATAATGCATTATATAACATATTATATAATATATATTTTGTAACTTTTATTGTGATTAAGTGATTACATAAATTGCACAGTATTAGGAGATCGTGATACTTAGTTAAAGTCACAAACACATTCTAACCAGGAGGCAAATTGTCATTATTGTGGTCCATGAAGTTTGTGGCTTCTCTGAGCTTTGACAGTACAACGATTTCTTCCACATCGGGTGGGATGTACATTTCTTTCCTTTTGCTTAGTGATAGCTTAGTGTCATTATATACTATATATAATATATATTATATACCATATATTATACATGATATATAACTATATAGTGTATACCATATACTATTATATATGATAGATAATCATATCGTGTATATGATATAATTATACATCATATAATATTAGATGCTATATATTCATTATTGATTTTCTTTTCCTTCACAGCACCGCGTTCACACCATTCTCACCGCCGACCTGGTGATCGTGATGAAGCGTGGCAATATTCTAGAATATGACACCCCGGAACGGCTCTTGGCCAGGGAAGACAGCGTGTTTACGTCCTTCGTGCGAGCTGATATGTGAAGTGCGGGCTTAGGAGGAAGAGATGAATATTGCAGACAGCGCCGCCGTAACCTGATTAACGGCTCATTCGCTTGGGAGGCACCAAACCTCTGCACATTTGTGCGCAGGAAGCTGTGTGTGTGTGTGTGTGTGTGTGTGTGTGTGTGTGTGTGTGTGTGTGTGCACGCGCCATGACCGGTGCTTGAAGTCAGGGGCCTCTTGCTCTTGATTATTCGCTCCACACTGGCGCTCTACCACCTGCACCACACCTTGTGGCTTTTTGCTGGTTCATTGGAGAGAAGAGTCTCTCAGAGTTTTGTCTTCTCGGGCTGGCGTCCAACTGAGATCCTCAAAGCTGGGCCTGCTGAGGAGCTGGGATTATAGGCGTGTGCCACTGAGTTGATATTTCCTGTTTTGCTTTTTGTCTTTTTCAAGATATTACCACCTTAGCGCCATTATATTTCCTAGAACCCAAGCCACTATACGTGTAAGGATCACAGACTGCATTAGGCACTTGTAAGTTACTTGGATGAAGTCAACGGCTGATGCTTATCCATTACTCTAATTCTGTCAAATATCTTCCAAGTCTATAATGTGCACACACTACCATTAAACTCTTCCTTGTACAAATAAATTCTTTTTTTTTTTTTGGCCAAGTTTGTTGTACCTGAAAGAAAATGAAACAAGGACATGTTTTCTAGTGAAAAGCTCCAACTCCTTACCTGCTTCATGGAAATATTTTGTTGTATTCATTCACTTCACCCTTATAGATTTTTTTGGTCAGTGGTGGGTCTTGAACTCAGGGCCTGGGCGCTGTCCCTGAGCTCTTTTGCTCAAGGCTGGCGCTCTACATTTGAGCCACAGTGCCACTTCCATTTTTCTGGTGGTTCATTGGAGATCAGAGGTCCCACAGACTTTCCTGCCCAGGCTGGCTTTGAACCACGATCCTCTAGATCTCAGCCTCCTGAGTAGCTGGGATGACAGGCGTGAGCCACTGGCACCCGGCCCTACACACACACACACACACACACACACACACACACACACACACCATTTTTTAAAGAAGAAAAGCAATAAATGTACCAAACCTCCCATTAAGAGTCTCAGGGGTGGGCAGATGAACAGAGAGGGAAAGGGTGAACGAATGCTATCTTCTTATACAGCAGAACATGGAGCCAGGTGATTTGAAGGGAGGGGCGAGGCGGGGAGGGAGGAGGGAGGGGTAGAAGGGGGGACATGGATCAAGATGCAGTGGCTTCACAATCTGCCATGTGGAACTTACCCCTTCTGTACAACTACTGAAAGCTAATAAGAGCAAAATTCCAAGCCACGCCAGGGCTCTGTGGCCCCGGGAGAAGAAAAGATTCCTCTCCTTCAAGGATTGTGATTGATCCTCTGTTATCTCTCGAGATCCTTCCGAGATTAACTCCAGCCCCTCAGAAGACTTCCCTTAATAACTGACGCTCAAGATGGGGGCTTATAATCTCCTGCACCCTGGACACTAAATACTGGTGTCCCGAAGACTAACGGTTATTGTCTTCTTGACTGGTATGTGTTCCACTACTAATAAATAGGATTCCTACGTGCATTTATTTTTATTTTCACTGCTCACCGGGCCCCTGGAGTCCTTATCTTCATTTCTGGTTTGTGTTTAGTCCATTATTTATTCTCTCCAGTATCTGAGATGGCGTTTATCTCTACAGTGAATGTGTTCAATAAAATATTGGCTTGCGTTATGTAATAAATTATGCCTTCTCTTTGCTCAATGAAAGAGGGTGGTTTTCCTTCGAATTCTACTTTGTGTCAGCCAAAACCAGTCAATAGATTTAAATTACTGCAAGCCAATACTTGGCCTTGCTTTAAAGATCTTTTGAGTCCTGAGAGTCGTGTACTCTATTACTTTTGCATGCACATGCCCGTGTGTGTGTGTGTGTGTGTGTGTGTGTGTGTGTGTGTGTGTGTGTGTGCTGGTACTGGGGCTTGAACACAGGGCTTGGGTGTCATCCCTTAGCTTTTTCCCAGAAAACTGGTGCTCTACCACTTGAACCACAGCTCCACTTCCAGCTTTTTGCTGGTTCATGGGAGATAGGAGTCTCATGGACTTTCCTGCCTGGGCTGGCTTTGAACCACGATGCTCAGATCTCAGCCTCCTGAGTAGCTGGGATGACAGGCGGGAGCCACAGCAGCCAATAAGGATTTTCCTTGAAGAAAAAAAAATCAGACTTTTTCCTCTTTGTCCCGACTTGCCTGAATTTTCTAGCATGAATACCCACCATGCAATGAAACGCGATATTGGAAATGCAAGATATCTAGGCCTCTGTCCAACCATGAAGAGGGAGAGAAAAACAAAAAAAACCAACAACCTGGCAAGCCGAAGAGTTCATGGGAAATTCTTGGCTTAAATAATATTTTAATAAAGCTCAGCTACGTGTGCCAACGAAGCAGGGATGACATCATGATTTATGAGTTAAATATCATGTGAGACTAGTCTTGTCTAAGGCCATTTTGAATCAAACACTCGGGGGAAGGGGAGTCACTGGGGAGAAAGAGCAAAGGAAAAATGGTGAACGCAGTTCAGATATGAATAGAGTCCACACCGCATACACTCTGATCAAAAACCAAAAATTGGGGTGGGCAGGTGGCTCAGTGGTAGAGCGCTTGCCTAGCATGCATGAGGCCCTGGGTTCGATTCCTCAGCACCACCTACACAGAGAAAAAGCTGGAAGTGGCGCTGTGGCTCAAGTGGTAGAGCGCCAGCCTTGAGCCAAAGAAGCTCAGGGACAGCGCCCAGGCCCTGACTTCGAGACCCAGGACTGGCAAAAGAAAGAAAAAAAAGCAAGAAATGCTCATAATAGCAAAGCCACAATCCAGCCCAGGACCTCATAGTGTTTTGTGCACACAATGAAATGCTACGTTACACGGAATAACCTGGCTACGGCTCACGGACAACTACATCAAAAAGCAGCCAATGGTAGACTTCCCCAAGCTCTACCAGGCAGGGAGAGGTGACAGTCTGGGGGGAGGGGGGGGGGAAGGGTGAGGAATTTTCTAGAAGGAAGGCTATGATTTCATAGCCTGGACTTGTAATCTATGTGGGTAGCACCCTACCCCTTGAGCCGCACCTCCATTTCTGGCTTTTGTTGGTGGCTCATTGGAGATAAGAGTCTGGCGGACTTTCCTGTCTGGGCTGGCTTTGAACTTACATCCTCACATCTCAGCCTCCTGAGTTGTTTAGCTGGGATTACAGGCGTGCGCTACTGGTACCCGGCTCGCCAAATTGTCATCTACTCTCAGCTCTCTAGGACGCATCCCAGGGAGTTTTTAGATTTCCTCAACTTTTTACCAAAGGAAAATATAAATGCCTAACACCTTTCGGTTGTTATGGGATTACCATTTCAGGATTTCCTTTTCTTTGGACAAAACAAGCTACCTGGACCTGAATTACAACGACCCTCCACTCTTCAATTCCAGCCTGGAACCTGTTTAGAGGGGGAGAAAGATCTAGAGAACACTTTTTTTTCGGGGGGTGGGACTCAGAGAAGTTGTCCACATTCCCCATCCAGAAGAAATTTTATCTTTGAACAGAAGAAGAAAAAAAAAACATACTCCAACCAATAATCCTTGACAGAAGGAAGAAAAGCTAAACTAATCTTGGCTTCCTGGGGTACAACAAATCAAACGATCTCTTACGTCGCAGGGCTGCGCTTCCCAGATTCCTCCGGCTGTACTTTTGAAAGGTGGTAGGGGAAAAATTTTAAAAAAAAAAAAAAGCACTCTATGGAAAGTTCTGGAAAATGTCACATGTCTCTTTCCAAGCCTTGGCTATGAATCATTGCTTTTGCAAGGCTGAGAGGGCTTTCGAAATCACTCTAAGAGCTCAGAGTTTTTATAGCAGGGACCAGCCCCAGGAGAATCCACGCTTGCTTTTCCATGTGTGTTTTTTGTGATTTCTGTCAGTCGTGGGGCTTGAACTCAGGGCCTGGGCGCTGTCCCTGAGCCTCCCCCCCCCCCCCCTCGGAGTTGGTTCCTGAGGGCCTGGTGCTTTGGTGATCGACCCTGTCCAGTCCCTCCTGTCTTGGTGAAATGGAGCAGGTAGTTAGGTTCAGTCTAAGATTCAGTCTAAGGTTTGGGCTTTGCTAGAAGGGCGAGAGCTGGAAGGATCCTACTCAAGTCTACGCCATGAGAGGATCATGGTCTCATTTTCTTACCCTTCCACGGAGTAGCTCTAGGAAGCTGAAGGCTACATCTGCTGTGTCTGTCTGTCTGTCTCCTCTCCTCCACAGACCCAAACCTTGGAGATTGGGAAGGGAGACGTGCAGCAGCCGCTTAAGTCAGGCCAGCCCTGTTCTAGAATGTTGCAGAAGGCAATGTGTCTTGCTTCCTCTACGGAGAACGAAACTCTCCAAAGCGAGCAGCTACCATTAATGTCTTCTCTGTCTGACCTGACTGTGCGGGTATCTGAGCTGAGCATGCCAAGCTAGGAGCAAAGCTCTCTGGTGAATAGTTCTGGAGAGTTCTGATGGAAAAGGGAGAGCTCTTCTTTTGGTAGAGAGCCATATCATCACCTCCAGAAATATTCTCGGAGCCAGGCACCTGCACTTCACGCCTATAATCCCATCCGCTCAAGAGGCTGTGATCTGAGGATCGCAGTTTGAGGCCAGCCTGGGTAGAAAAGTTTGTGAGACTCTATCATCACCAATGAACCAGCCAAAAGCCTGGACTGGAGCTGTGGCTCAAGTGGTAGAGTGCCCAGATTGAGCAAAAAGAAAAAAAATGCCCAGGGACGGCATCCAGGCCTCGAGTTCAAGCCCTGGGTCCAACACACACACACACACACACACAGAAATTCACTGGAGCAGATCACAAAGATGAGTCACATGGAGGCCTCTGGGGCGTGATAAGTCAAAAAGAAAAGTGAGTTTCCAACATGTTGCTTTGATTACAAGCGTACGCGATCGTTTCTTCATGGAGCTGACTTCAAAGCAATACGCTCCAGCGAGGTTTAAATGAGAGCATACGAGGCAAACAGGCCGACCGATGTTCTAGCCATGAACACGAACCGTTTCCATCGTCATCTTGAAGAATCTCTTAATCTTTTAGTCGAACCAACGTGACCTGGAAAGAACCAGAAGTTTCTGGGTGACCAGGCAAAGTCAAACATCATCAGATCCAACACACTCCACCCAGCATCTCAAGAGGGATTCCACCCGCGCGGGTTTGTGTTTGGTGTTTGAAACGTTGAGGAAGACCCCGGTTTGATGCTGATCGCTTTTCTACTTGTTTGAAAGCATGGGACAAATGTGACCTGCAGAAGCCTGAAACTGGTCCGGCACCTGTGACTCACGCCTGTAATCCCGGCCACACAAGAGGCTGAGATCTGAGGATCAAGGTTCAAAGCCAGCTCGGGTGGGAAAAGTCCATGAGACGCTTATCTCCAATAAACAACCCCCCAAAAACTGGCCGTGGAGCTGTAGCTCAAGTGGTAGAGCGCCAAGCTGGAGTTAAATGCTGAGAGAGAGAGAGAGAGGTCCTGAGTTCAAGTCCCAGTATTAGCACAAGAAAAAATAATAATGACGCAGAGAATTGTCACTCACGCACCAGGCTCTCGAGTCTTCAAGGGGTGAAATGTGATCTCTGCACAAGGGGAGAGAGAAAAGAAATTGTTCTTCACCTGCCCTCGTTAAAGACTAATTTTAGGTCGTTTGGTCCATGCGTGGCGTGTTTGTGCTGGGTACACCTCGGCCCCGGAGTCCTGGACAGCACAGGACCTTTCCAAGAATTAAAGTTCCCATCCCAAGAGGCTCAAATGCGG